TGGCAAGTATTGGGTGGGATCGTCAGCAATATTGGCAAGTATTGGGTGGAATCGTTAGCAATATTGGCAAATATTGGATGGGGTCATTAGCGTATTGGCAAGTAGTGGATGGGATCGTCAGACAGGGTAATTTGATAAGGTCATACATTTGTTGCGCGTGTATGCGGTGATCACTGAGAGTGATTCAAGTTTTTAATCCAATACAATAATCAATAATCTATTCGCCGTGCATGCGGTAGATGCGAAGATACAACCTCAGGATGTCGTGGCAGTGCAACACAACTTCTCTCGGTTGAAGAAATATTTGTGCCTCCAGCTACCATGGGCAACATATTTATACTGTTGTCAGAGAGGGGCGTTAGAAATTGTTATTGAAGATGGTTCGTTAGGGAACGTCATTAAATAGAGAACAAGATGAGAGGTTGATGTTCACCAGCGGCCCGTTGCCACCAGAGCCATAAATAGTGTGATGACTATCATCAGTCTAAAATATTGAAACTTGTGCAAAGCACATCTCTCCTAAAATGTTTTTAGAGAGAGAGATTTATGGTTCCATATATACTTGTATTATGATGTTTTTGGGCCTCGGTTCCACGGGCCTCAGGTCGACAGATTTCACAGTAGAGCTGGCAACACTAGCGTGATAGGGTTTGTTATATATCTCGTGGAAAAATACTCGCGCTATATACGAACTATTAAAATACCCAATTGTCTTACAACGCGGTCGTAAAATATAGTAATAATCTCTATGGATTACCAATAAATGCTGGGAATTCCTGCGCAGTTTGTTGGAATGCACAGAAAATTGTATAAAAATCTAACGAATATCGAACGCGTTAAGGAGGGCTTATGTCGGGCTTGCGAGCCGACTCGACCGGAAGCAACTGGATTTCAAGCAACTGTAAGCGATCAGCAGCGACTAGTTGCGTTCAGTTGCCCACTGTTCTATTCCGAGCAACTAGTGGCAGCCTGTCGCAGGCAGTCTCGTCGCAGTCGACCGACCTAAGCACTGCAGTCGCAGCCAGCTGCTTCCAGTCGAGTAGGCTCGCAAGCCCGACATAAGCCCGCCTTTACATATCAATCGGCGTGTTACCACAACATTTTAATTCTCACGCTGGCCGCGTGGTGGCGCTATCGAGTGCAGGTCCGACAACAGGCCTTCTTGTAGTACCAATGCTCGCATAGGTTGACCTGCTCCACTAGCGCACACTTAGCGTTCGGGTCGTCTTTACATTCAACACCTATGCCAAGGGAAAACATTTGATGTTCTCACGATATACGTACAGTTATAGAGTAGGGTTCGCCGTGCATGGGGGAACATCGAGCGTATCAGTGTATGACACATCCATGAATACATCTCGCGGGGGTTTCCCAGTGATGCTTATATAAGACACTAATTTGACCGGTGACTATTTACGGTATGATAATTATGAGATAAAAGTAATAACAGCAGATAGCTCTACGAAATAATTAACTTTAGCGTCTATTTATATATAGGATCCCTTTTAATTAAGTTGGTCGGAGGTTGTGAGGTGATTCATAGAAGGTGGATTTCACAAACTAGGTAATAAGCGGTTAAATATTCATACAGTGAATCTAACCCTGAACGAAGGTCATATCTTGCTTGAAATTTTGATATTTTTCATTGTCCATGATAGCTGCGACATCCAGAATCTAGAAGTAACTATTGGCCTATTCGTCCAACACTACTAATACGCACTTGTAACCAATCCGCGTTGTAATATTGCGTTCTAGAAACGATGGTTAGTAATTATAACAAAGTGTTACAGAAGCGCCATTTCTGGTGTCTCGCATGAGAGACACATATATACGCGTAGAGCTTAACTGACATATCAACAATGTTCAAGGGGACGTGGTTATCTCGCTCGCACGGATAGGCCAATTATCATAGAAGAGACAGTGTGTACCTATGTCGGGGCAATCAGCGAGGGAGCATTCTCTAGTAACGTCGGGCTTCTGATCAGGTGGGCAACCTGAGGATGGCCTGTTGCTCTCGTAACATCTCACCTCCCTCACGCTCACTCCAGGACCACAACTCGTGGAGCACTGCAACAGCGCATGCGCAACAACGCTAAATCACACAGGTGCCCTTCACACGGCTTCAGTCTACTCGCTTACATATGCGACCTTTGTATTGAGTGCAATGAATCTACGCACACTAGCGCCTGACGTGACGTCGGCAGGCAAACATTAAATCAGTAATTGCCAGCTAATAACCATTTATATACCGTCGCGTAACATTCATCTACGTGTTATCATCCTATCTCGGCTTATGTTCTCTAAGATTATCGTGGTCTTACGTTATCTTGAGTTACAGCTGCAGACGTACCTCCGACCACTGCGTGGAGTACCATCGCGGATCACATGGTCGCACTGTACAAGAGCGAACATTCTCTGGCTTTGGTGGCAGATGCTTGCAGGCGTCTGCCGGGAATTCCTTTAGTACGCCAGCCACCAGACCTCCGCATATGATCTGCTGACGTATGACGCCTTCCCCACACTGCGCCGAGCACTGTGTTGACGCGAGTAAGAGAGTCTATATGTAGTGGCTGAAATTAAGCGCGGGCATAAAGGGGGGAGAATTGCGAGAGGGGCAAGTAATAGAAGAACGTAGCAGGGAAACGTAACGGGGAAACGCAGTGAAAGAACGTAACGGGAGAACGTAATGGGAAACGTAACAATGAATCGTAGTGGAAGAATGTAATGTTCATGAGAACGTAGCAGGTGTACGTAACAAAGAAATACAGTGAAAGAATGTAAGAGAAGAACGTAACAAGGAAACGTAGTAGAAGAATGTAACAGGAAAACGTAGCATGGGAACGCAGCGGGGAAACACAGTAATACAACGTAACAGAGGAACGTGAAATGAGAACGTAACAGGGAAATATAACAGTGAATGATTATTTATTTAATGTAATTACTTCAATTCTTATTCTTGGAGATACGATCTCCCACAATAAATCTACTAGCTCTCACGATCGAAAATGGTATAGGGACGCCCTTCACTCGGCCGTGCAAGCATTAGATTTAAATTTGTATAATATATAATTTATTTGTATATTTATATTATTATAATATAATATTTATATTATAATATAATTTATATAAGACGAGGGCATCTCGTTACTATGAGAAAAATCCGCAGCAATCCAAAAGGTTCCCACGCATAGACATGCTATTATCACCCGCGTGTAATCATGCTATTATTACCCGCGTGTAAACATGCTATTATTACCCGCGTGTAAGCATGCTATTATTACCCGCGTGTAAGCATGCTATTCGTACCCGCGTGTAAGCATGCCATTCGTCCCGCGTGTAAGCATGCTATTATTACCCGCGTGTAAGCATGCTATTCGTACCCGCGTGTAAACATGCTATTATTACCCGCGTGTGCGGGTAATAATAGCATGCTTGGGTAATAATAGCATGCTTACACGCGGGTAATAATAGCATGCTTTAGCATGCTTACACGCGGGTAATAATAGCATGCTTACACGCGGGTAATAATAGCATGCTTACACGCACACGCGAATGATAAAATAGCATGTTTACACGCGGGTAATAATAGCATGCTTACACGCGGGTAATAATAGCATGCTATCATTACCCGCGTGTAATCATGCTATTATTACCCGCGTGTAAGCCTGCTATTATTACCTGCGTGTTAGCATGCTATTATTACCCGCGTGTTAGCATGATATTATTACCCGCGTGTAAGCATGCTATTATTACCGGCGTGTAAGCATGCTATTATTACCCGCGTGTAAGCATGCTATTATTACCTGTGTATAATCATGCTATTATCACCCGCGTGTAAGCATGCTATTATTACCCGCGTGTTAGCATGCTATTATTACCCGCGTGTAAGCATGCTATTATTACCCGCAAGCATGCTATTATTACCCGCGTGTAAGCATGCTATTATTACCCGCGTGTAAGCATGCTATTATTACCCGCGTGTTAGCATGCTATTATCATCTGCGTGTAAGCA